CGTTACACGAGAAAGTCTCCTATCCAGCCCAGAACAGGATCGCCGAATCCATATTTCTGGAGATTGTGGAGGAGAATGCGATGGTCTATGCGGTCGAATGCCTTTGAGAAATCCAAGTAGGCCGCGTCAACTCCTACACCAGCGTCCACAGATTCCGTCCAGTTTGCACGAGCAATCAAGAGATAAGTTGTACCGGAGCGATTTTGGCGAAATCCATGCTGTTCCGGAACGAAAATTTTGTTGTTCTCCAGCTACCCCATTAAAGCCTCAGCTACGATGGACTCCATAACCTTGGAGATCATAGGAAGTAGTGTTATCGGGCAATAATTTGCTGGTTCAGCACGACTGCCACTTTTGTAGATAGGCGTGATGATTCCGTGCTTCCACATCGTGGGGACGTGCATCTCGTTCAGACATCGTTGAAAGAAAATTGCTAATGGTCCTGCCAAACTCATGGCAGCAACTTTCAACGCCTTCGGGCGAATGCCGTCCGCACCCGGGGAGCTGAATTCGCGCAGAGACATCAGCCTCTTCAGTACAGCTGCCGAGGTGAACGATTTGTGATTAAGCCCTGATGGCGGCGTTATCTGCTTAGCGAGGATGTATGATGATTGCGCGCTTTGGAAGGTACGGCGAAAATGTTGTCCAAGGACGTTGGCCGTCTCTTTTGCTGTTTGGGCTAAGCCGCATGCTGTGTGCAGAGCAGGAATACCGCGCTTAACACGGCGCAAATTGTTTACGTGTCTGTATAGCAGTGTGGGATTGGAGCAAAACTTATCCACTAGGCCTTGTTGGTTCTTAAGTCTACTCTCCCGGACGAGTTTGACACAGTGATTCCTGTGTATTGTGTAGACATCCCAGGTATGGTCGTTCGGGGAGACTATGTAGGTGTGCCATGCCAAGTCCCTTAATGCCATGCATTTACGTGTCCTGCTCCTTACGAAAGACTTCATCCTTTTAGGTCGGTAGAGTTTGATTTCAGATGTCCTTGCCACGAGCTTGGTAAATATGTTGACGAATACTCCGTTGGCCACCTCAGGGGTTAATTCAGCTAAGAACGACCAGCTGGTTGCATCAATGAGGTCGGACAGGTCTTCATAGTTGGTTACGATATGATATTCCTCGGCATGCTCTTTAGGATAATCCGCGTTGCACATGTAATGAAACAATAACGTCGCATGATCACTGTGGCCCAAAGCAGTATCGGTTATCACTCTCTTGACCAGCACTTCTTCATTGGTGAATATTCGATCCAACATGGATGGCCTGTCAGTTCCCCTGAACCTGGTGGGCGTAGTGACGTGGCCATAAAGCGGGAAGTCTGAAACCAGTTCTTGCAAATCTGCTTTGAATTGCTCTCCTGGTGTGGCCTGGAATTCGAGGGCATGTAAGTTGAAGTCACCGGTGACTAGAATGTGACTGTACTTCCTGTTTCTCACTCGCCTCAACGCAGCCATCAAATTGTATTCCATCACAGAAGTAGACGATGGTGTGCGGTAAACAACAACCGGTAGGCCAAGATGGTTCCCTCTTAGCCGGAAATTACACCAAATGGCGTCAGGTACGTCGGTTTCCGAATCGTCTATGGGTTCGCATTGCATGTTGTTACGAAAGTGAAGGGCTACCCCACCACCTTTGCTGGTTCGATCCTTCCAGACAACGGACATGCCCGTTAACGCAATTTCAGCATCCGTTATCTCGCAGCGCAACCACGTTTCGGTGACAGCGATGAGGTCCCAAGCTACAGATGCGTGTCGAAGTCTTAATTCAGCTAATTTGCTGAGTAGACCTTGGGCATTTGTGTACATGTATGGGAGCTTCTCGGAGACCAAAAGTGTGTTAGATTGGATGGGTGAAGCAAATGAGTTTACGCCGACCATTAAAGGGTCGGCGACTAATCGTTTTTTGGATGGGTTGCATACAATGGAAAATTATTTGCTATATAAGCAGGTATCAGATGCCCCGAATCCCGGTGTTTGCTCGTGCTCTGCTGTGCCCCACTGGATAGATGGCTACTCTTGAAACCGTCCCCTAGTCGGGTCCTGCAGTTGGCGTTTTCATTAAGAGTTGTGCCTCTACTGAATTGTCATTAGTAGATACTAGTGTTCCTGCTGCTTTCAGACGAACTTCTGTTGGCAATCTGCAACGGAATTTAGTCCAGATCGCTAGTAGTGTTTCTGCCATTTGTTCTGACTGTAACACAAGTTTTAACAGCGTGGGACCGCATCCCTTATAGTTTGGTGATATGGGGATCCTTGTCAACCAGGTGACCACGACATTTTCGAGAGAAAGAGCCTCCCGGATGTAGTGCCATTGCTCGAGGCCGTGCATCTGAGCATCATCGGAGGAGGAATCAGTAAGCTCTTGAACACCGTGAGCTATCACTGTTTTCTTATCTTGACTTATTCTGTACCTAGCTTTGTTAGCGGGATCCCATGAAGGTTCTTTCCACGGCATTTCGGGTAATATACGCACTCCACTTGAGTCGTTGCGGAGACGATTCGCAGACAGCAGAACGGTTTCAGTCTCGTCCGTGGAGTTTAGTGTTACCCGAAGTAACCGGGGTTCGCCGTAGTGCAACGCGTTTGGGTGGCGCGAGGTTCTTTTTAATGTCGTGGGATTAGCATGGACTCCGATCGACGTACAGATGGAACCCCACTGATTTCTATCGTCCGTCAACTTACCCTTAATTGTATTGGATTAGGATTCGGGGACATTTGTGCATACAATGTTTAGGGCACCATGGTTGCGCCTAGTGGCTTCTGGTTTTGGATTTGGAGGCTTAGTTTCTGGTGTTTTTGTTGAATTTGTGAACGGCACTGGTATGTGCCATCCGTGCTGCGGCAGTTTTGTTTTCTCTAGTTCGGGCACAAAGGTTACCGGTGCTCTTTCCGATGTTTGCTTGGCAGCAACCGATGCGTACGTTGCCGGGTTGTTCACTATGGCTGGTTGACTGTAGCTTACAGTCTCGTGTGTAGCGAACAGACTACTAGGTGCAGCACACAGTACAGAAGTTGAGGCAGGCGCGCTGCAGGCACTGTTTTTACTTATATGAGGGAGGGAGAATGGAGTTGATACTGCTGGAGGCTGAGTCGTTGGGGCTGGGTTGGGAAGCCTGGCTCTCTTCTTCGGCCTGACTAGGGAATTCGGGGTGTTATTTTCACCCACAACCGAGACGACAAGCAATGGCGATGCTCGATTCAGACAATCGAACCCAGCATGCGGTTCAACTTTCCGCAAATTTTGCCTAAACGTACAATGAAATAGTAATTTTAGTTAGTGTTTAACACTACGGGCTCAGGTAAACCGGGAAATCACCAGACTGCTACAGACATACCGCTTATCGCATATCGTTACTTACCAATCTTTGGGCCACCGTTCCATTTGCAAATGCCATGCCATGCACACGCGTAGCTGTAAAGGCTTGTCGTGCCCGATATAAAAAGTGGTTCTCCATGTATTGTCCTTAAAACAAAGAGGGGTAAATGTTTGCAACAATCTGTCAGAAAATGCCAAGAAGGCCGAATCTGTGCAGCAGTTCCAAAGATCGCTCGATTCACATTTCACCAACATTTGTTTCGGATAATTATTGCACACAAATAATCATTTCCTACGTTTGTGAGCTCTGATGTACTGTGAAGCAGATGTTTTTATATGTTACACAAGGGCTTCATGAACGATTAAAGTAGTAACAAGTGACATTAGTTTATGAAAACCTTTTTGATTGAATTCCCATCGAATTACACTGATTTTAACCTCTACGTGCTTTCATAATTCAGTGCTTAGTAGTTAGCGCTTGTAATTAGTCTGTCCAGTGTAGCCGTTGATAGATACCTTCAGCATAGCATCTCTGTTGCGCACGTAACTTTAAACAGTTTCTTTCAATCAGCCACTTATCTCATACATGAATAGGGAGCTTGGATTACCAATCACCACTATCGACTGCACATCTGGTGTATCTTAAAAATACTGAAGCAGATAACATAATCTTCAGGGATTCCATGCTGCTGTAGTTGCTAAAGCGCCCCCAGGCCAACCGATGCCTTTTTCAATAGGACTCCAAATCGCAGGTAACATTCGTTGCGACAGTTAATTCTTGTGGGTGAGAGACGACGGTCATTTTGCAGCATTGGTCCTGTGAATTCAATGCTGGCAACCCGAAGTCCTAGGTTCGTGCGGCGGTGCTCGAAATCTGTCATGGAACGTTGCTTTGTGTGTGCGTACCATCTCAAAGAACACCATTCTTGTTCGCCGAGGGGTGAACGAATTTTGAACTATGTGCAGCTAGAGGGGAAACGGGGGTTCAAGAAAGTTTAAGATGCACAAAATCCGATTCTCGCAGAAATACCAATAAACTCACGCATCAATCCAGTGTAAACAGTAGCAATCAAATCGGATGGCTCAAGTCCATCTTGCAGTGAAGCAGACCATGGCTGTGCGCCAGTGATTGACTTAAGGTATTCATTATGGGAAAAAAATCAGTACTCGCTTTAAAACTTCCAAGTACATCTTCACTATTTTCTACAAAATAATATTTTGTGTATTTTTGTTCGTCGCAATCAGCCGGCAATTCAGATATGTCGACCAGCTATCCGGAAACGCGCACCTACCGAATCCTGCCGGATTCGAACCCCGCTACTGACGGGTCCCAATAGGACGAAACTGCCGTCTAGCGCTTTCCTGGATGTGTGGTGGCTGTCTGCCTGTGTCTAGCTGCGACGAATCTACACAAAACCTACTAAATCCCCCTATTACTTACAACTAAATAATATGTTATTCTGATTACTTCTTAGTGCCACTTCATGAGCGGGATAAACACGCCTTCACTATCATCTGATATCACTAAGACTATTTAGTATATTGAATGCATTCTAGCAATATTTCCAGATGTACTGAGGCGTCTTCAAATTCCTCGTGGTTAGACTGCGATCCAGTGCTTTGGCCTGGATATACGGTGCTACACTGCATGAGGATCACTGTTCCGCCTATTCCATTACTAGCTGGAGAACTCGAACGATTGGCGTTCGAACTGATGGCAGCCGGGACGGAGACGAGCTCGACAACTCTCACCTGGGCGTGTGTCTACATGAGCGAACATCCTGAATTGTTTGTCCAAGAGGATATAGATCGACACTTGAAAAACATCCACCGCCTTGCAAGTGTCGTACCTTTGGGCCTGCCCTACATCACCAAAGAACCTGTGACAATTTCCGGGTATCACGTACCGAAGGGCACTATTCTCTTATTTAACCTTCTGGCGGTGCATCAAGAGCAATCGCACATCTTGGACGATCCTCCGAACCCAATTCCCTTCTCGGTGGGTAAGTTGCGTCAACACACCGAAATATTTCTTCGTCACAAAAAACGTCCGGCGTGCATTCCCAAGCAGCGCACTCCTACTGAAATATGTGTAAGCATCGTTTTCGTCAGTGAAATGTATGCCATGAACAATACGTATTTGGGCTGGAAATGCTTGAATGGGCCCCCACAGCAAAGTTGGTTGAGTGTCTCTGCTTTTATCCTTATAGAATTCTATCAGCCCCTAGCCTACTAGTTAATTACGGGTCGTCTGATTGTTATACCAAGCTCAGGCGGTGTGCTAAGACGCAATCTATCAATCAACCATTATCTCCACGAGGGTGACATGAAATGGTGAACAAACAAGCTGTAGAAGAACAGGTTGGATGCAGAGCTTTGGGAGTTGTCTCATTGCTGACGCCTCACGGATCAGTGTGGGATAGAGCTGATCGCTCAAGGAGAATGATAAACTCCCAAGCAGGACTTGTACCTCGGTCCGTTTAAATCAGCTAACTTGTTTTCCCTTTCACCGGACCATTGTGATCGCCCTTCGGAATAGCGCCATGCTAGATAAACCAAATGCACACAGATAGGGCTACATCAGGTGAGCAAAAATACCAGCCCACTCATTGCTGGTGGTGAGAGTACTTCCAACGTCCTAAATAATCATATAGCCCATCGTCGGTGACAAGAAGCAATAGACTACGGCATTGCTCACTCACTCACCTACCCACACACCTACCGCAATCGACGGATTTATGCAACGCTTCCTGGAATCGGATGACTGCGTCAACTAGTTCTCGCAGAGAGTCTGCAGCAACACACTTGCTTAATCACATAAGGAAAATAGCAGTGGGAACACTATTGATCAGATTAAGTTCATTGAATCAAATCATGTCCCCGCCAGGTTCGTGAACCGACGGGCAATCTAGGGTAGGGCAACTGCGTTTTCCTTCCAGCTCAACTGGCTTCAGCTTCTTCTACTTTCTCTCATTCGTACGCAAAACAAAGATGCGCTGCCGACGCTGGCCTCTTCAATGGTTATCTATCAATTCGAGCGCGCAAGTGGCGTCACTTATGTCGGTCGAACGGCGCGCCACCTGTCAAACCGCGTCAGTGAGCACCACCCACTTGCATTTTGTTTAGGTGGCATTGGGGCTGTTAATAGCTCCATTTTCGCTCACATTGTGGACACTGAGCATCAAATGGATGTAAACCGTGCCTTCCAGATAATCTACAGGATCCCACCGTTGCAATCCAGAGGCCTACGCCTCCGTATGCTTGCGACAACCGAGGCAATCGGTATTAGGTTGCTTCAACCTCCGTTAGGTTCTCAAAGGAAACTAATCCACACGCTGCAGCTTACTTGGCTAGCGAAGACGCTGAAGCCAATTGCAGTGGAAGGAAAACGTAGTCGCCCTAGCCTAGATTGCCCGTCGCTTCGCGAACCTGGCGGGCACGTGCTTTGATTCAATGAACTTACTCCGATCATTTGTGCTCCCACAGCTATTATCCTAATGTTAATGTACAGGTCTGAAGAGGAATCACCAAAAGCAATTGTTCACCTCTGGCCCCAGTGTTCTTGATTATTTATTGGGGATTTTCAATTTGCTACCACTCGCTTAAGCTGTTACTTCCTCCTTTACAGTTGTCTAAAATGCTTCTTGCTTTTTGGTATTGTAATTTCCATATGATCTGTATCGATTGCATCTGCATCTGTATCACTTGAACAATAGCACTACGCCCATACAACACACCTTGTGACCCCGTAATCAACACATGCACACGTCAAAATAACATTCGACCTCCATCCCTGAGCACGCGGAACGTCAAAGCGCGTGAAAATCAGTTGCGATTAAATACGTACTGCATATGACCGAATGTAAGCCCATCCATACATAAACCTACAGTATAACCTTGCAACATCAACTTTGTCTAAATTCGTAAGTCCATGTATTAGCCGACCCCAACAAAACCAGCAAGATAAAGGAAATTGCTTCCCACGATTTTGACGTCATCAATACCTGTTCTGGACACCTTGGAAACTGCCTGCTCTCACTTGTGTGGGTTCAAGAGAAATCTGCTCTGTTGATCCGTTGTGATGACCGTAATGTTCTCATCGTGCTTACTGAGGTGTAGGGCCGTCTGAACAGAATTACACCGCAGCGGACAGTGAAATGACCAGGCGTCAAGTCACATGACACAGGTAAGACAGCCGAGAATAGAGGGTAAGGTGACAGTGGGTGTCAGACACGTCGCCTCGCCTACTCGGGGGCCTCATGCATGTGAACCACAGTGGAGCCGTTGATGAGAGCGAAGTTCAAGGTCAAGGGTGTGGGACGACGTCGTACTTTTAAAGCACCGGATCGTCGGACACAACATAATGTTTAAGAGCTTCAGCTTCGTTACTGCCATCTGTCGCGAACGCCAAATGTGCAAAACACCGAGAATTTTGATACAAAAGTGAAGTGTCCAATTGAAGGCACGTCAAATCCCCTCTGGAATACCGTTCGCTCCTAGCAGGTGGCGCTAAGGGGAGATAAGGGCAGTGATGGTGAGTGAATTCCTGGGTGAATATCTTGGAACATATTTGGTACCGATCGGGAAGTCATCATTTCAGGCCTGATGAAGCTTTTGTGCCAAAAGCGAAAGGTTGTCCATCACCATAAATACATTAACCGGACGTCTACAAAGTTTTCTGAAATGAATTCCTGGGTGCATTTTACATGACATTTTCGAATTCCGTATAGCCTTTTTACAGGCCGACCCCACACTACAGCCACGAAAAATTGTCCAAAAAAATCATTATATTCGGTGTTGTGCGGTAGTTCCACACACTCAAAATAGACATACTTATATCACATCAAAACTCAACACACAAAACCAGACAGGTTAGCTGACGTGCACGAATATTTTCGCTTACTCAGGGCTCGACACCACCCCCATGCGCAATCGGGCCGAACCGGACTTCGTCTCACAGCCTCAACACGCATCAAGTCCCTCTTTTGTGCCTATCATTACCAGCTCTAGAGAAACACGGGTGTAAAGCAATAAGTTTACGGATGCACAAAAATTTTTATTTTTTGCAGTGGAATAAGCATTGCATTTTTTGAAGTACTCCACACCAGCGTTCATACACAGTTCTGTGGACTCAAACCATTTGGAGAAGCAGCTAGACCATACCGAAGCGGGTAACCCTTCAACCAGATCAATAAAGGCCTCCATTGCAGTTTCTGGAGACTTGTACCGGATACCATGCATCATGCACTTTATATATCGGAACAGAAAAGTTACACAGAGCGAGGTCTAAATTTTCGGATGGGGACCAACCTCCTGTATACGTTCATTAGCCAGAAAATCCACAACGACATGGGACCTGCGTGGAGATGCAGCAAGGTCTGTCGTGCTCGAGTCCTTTGACGACGTCTGGCTACAGCTTGTTGCACTTGTGTCAGTCGGTGGGGGGGGGGGCATACCACTTTCTGGTGACCGTGCTTTGCCGTACGAGTTGTCCAGTAGCCACATAACCGGTCTTGGCCGCGGACACAGCCATCATCTTCTTGGATACACTGCACTCACGTTGACATGGTTGAGGCGTAGCCTCAACAACGGGCGTCCACTAAGCCGATTGTTGTTAGTTCTCTGGGTTAAAAGGGTACACCCGGATCTCGTCACCATTGAGGATCTCCCAAACAATATTGGAACGTACACCATCAGGCCTGGCAAGCATGATGCGACACCAATTAATCCGAGCTACTTTCTGATCCTCACTGAGCTGACGGGGCACTTAACTCGTGTATACCTTTCCGAGGCCGAGCTTCTCAAGTAAGATGGTACGGATTGATGCTGAGGAGATCCCGATGGCTTACCCTAGTTGTACTACAGTCAATCGCCGGTCCTTCTCCAGTATCGCTCGCGAAGCAGCAAAGTTGTCTGCGGTGCTAGTCGCCACAGGTCGGCCACATCGTACGTCATCATCCAGGGACCGCCTGTCACCGCTTAATTCTGCAATCCTCTCAAATGCGGTGGTTCCTGAAGGCACATCATCACCAAAAGCAGCTCACAGTTGCTCAACTCTCCGGTTCTGCTTCAAACTACACTTGTATAGAAAATTATCGCCCTCCTGTGACCTCGACTGAAGTCTATAATTTTAGTCAGTGTATAGCGACCCTTACGACTTGTGAGCTGTTTTGGGCTGCTGATATAGTGTTCTGCTAGTTAAATCAATAAACAAGCTTCAGTTTGGATTAACATTCAGGTTTTTTTGCCAGAGCATCTGCAGCTAAACTGTGTACAGCGTATCCGGAAACTTGTTGCTTTGCCTTAGTATCATTTATTTTGCTCTCTAACCTGGTTTTGTAATTAGCTCGAATTAATATGCACTCCTAATTGGAAACCCCCACTTGATTAGTTACAAAAGCTGAGAGTTAGACACTAAAATAAAAATTAGGTGTACAGATAATAGTGTTGTATGATAGTGAGGGACTTATAGAGTATTGGCCTACGATGGCTGTGAGCCCAAGTCGCGTCCAGTGTAAAAATGCATACGACGGCGGCGGTGAGCCCTGAGCAGCAGTACGAAATCCGGCCCAAAGCAACATTTTGGCACCTCAGTAAATTAGTGCTCACAGTGTGCAAACGCTACTAGCTCCATTCACAACCACCCCACCAATCCTCGCGGTGATTTGATTGCCAAATTGAACATGGTCACTCAAGTGTGTGAGTTGAGGGAGCACTGCGAGTGGCGGAAACCATAGAACCTGGAAGACGCAACTGGTCAATGCGGTTTGTTAACACATAATGTATCGAAATGCATGGCACTCAGGATTGAGGATGCCAAACACAAGGTTTGATACCGATTATCTACTCTTTTCTTTCCCCATTCAGGAGCTCGGTCGTGTCCTGGAGGCCGACTAGCTGGCGCTCTTTTGAAGCATATCGTGAGTACAATAAATGCCAAGTTCCTAATCACTGAAGAAGGAGATCGCGCAATTGGAGAAAATGAGTGCCCCAGGTACGACACCGGGGGACTCACTAGAGGTCCATCTGAAGGACTCTTTGTATTTCATCCTCGGAGAACGATGTGAACCTGTTGTCACACAGACACTTCCAGCGGTTCGGGAGACCCTATTTCCCCGCCATTTTTAAAGTGGAATAGAGTTATGAATAAACATTTTCCACCAATTAGCTTTCAGTTAAAGCACTTGCTCAAACCTAAAAGATTGGCCATTGTAAATCGTCAGTCAGACACTTTGAGGACTCAAGTCACCTACGCTAATTGTTCATGTAGTCCACGACTTCAGATGGTTTCCAATGTGAGGCTAAGCTGGATCCTTCTCACAGCCCAATCGCATCTTCTTAGGCTGAAAGCAATATGCTGTGAGGCGCGGAAGCTTGATCTAACAACGGGAGGGTGCCTAGCATAGTTGATTCAACTGTGTGGTAATTCACCCCCAAAGAGTCCACGTCCCAGCATATTGATGAGCTGGTACAACCCATTTCAACCAACACTCACGAATATGTGCACCAGATCGCATATTCACTTTGTAAACGATGCGTGCGGTGTTCAAAATCTGGGAGATATGGCAACCCTGTCGCTGCTTGTGCAATCCTAGAATATTTTTGGTACCGATCGGGAAATCATCCTTTTAGTAGGCTTGGCAGACGACGGGTTAATGAATTTGTTGGTCGCATAACGTCCTCCAGTCTTTTGTGTCAAAAGTGAAATGTCGTGCGGTCGGAAATTTCATCAGCTGGTCGCTCACCAAGCCTTCTGAAATGATAATCTTAATATGCTTATCTATCTAGGAAATAATTCTTATTAGTGTGATTTGACAAACGACGTACAAAACGCCCAAGTTATCTACTTTGTAAGCGAATCATGCGGACTTGAACTACTAGCAGGTGTGGCGATATTCCCACTCACTCCAACCCCCGTATTGATCTGGCTTGTCGTTGGAACTAGTTTTCTCGAAAGTTTAGACTGTTGATCGTCCTCCTTGTTTTCGGATCGGTACGCACTAACTAGACATTGTGCAGACAGCATACACCTGATTTAGTCTGATTCCTACCTTGTCGAAATTGTAGACACCGGAATAGAATGTCTCAAACTCCGTGGTATGAAAGTAGCCGACCACAGATAATACGAACAAAAGCGTATAACCATAAAGTCACACGCTCACCGGTGGACATTACTGAACTCTTCTTTATGTCGATTCGCAGAGGATAGAAATGGAAGCGATGCACATTTGCTAATCAGGACAAATGTTAACGTTCCTAGAGCCACACAGCTACATGACTATCACTTGTAAGCATGTATGGCACACCCTGAGATAAAAACAAGCCATTACTCTATTCATCCCAAGTAGGTTCTTTCATTGGCGTATGAAATATTCTGAAGCACAAAGGTTTTGGAACTTGTAATGGAGCACCGAAATGAACCAGCTGTTATTGGACACATGCACTGACGGAGCAATAGTGACAAGAAGTTGAACCAGTAGTTTGGGTGTACGCCCCTGCGCTGTTGGTTGGCAAAATCCCAGTGTTAAAATCTTTGCGAATCAGTTAAGAAGAAACAGCCTAATACGATGTGCTTAGTCGCTCGGCTAACTTTCGACGTATGATACTGCTGCTGCACATTTCCCCCCTGGTCGTAGGATATCATAAGCCGACCGATTCGAAATCGCGTCAAGATCATGCTGGTGAACTTCGTAGTCGTCCTCTCCTTGGTCGCTTGTCAGATCTTGAGCTGATCTGCAGAGGACAAGAAATCGGAAGCAAACGCCTTCGCTCAAGGATTTATAAGATCCAAAAGTGGCGGGAACCTAACATCAACCCTAGTGATAAACCGCACCCGACTTCTATTGCATCGGACAAGAATACACATACCTACAAATCCAATTGGCTTCCTATTAGCAAATTGCCGACCGGATCGCCAATGCCATAGTCCTTATCTTGTGGATGTGGTTATGGTTGGACGGACCATAATTCTTCGGGAAGTCCAAACAGGCGACAACGACTCGCACTGCCTCTTCAGCTGCTTTGGCTTCGCTGTGGGTTCATCATATTATTCATATTAGCATACATGCAAATCCGGATATTCTGATTTCGGGGGGGGGTCTGTTAGATACAATGTTTGTCTGCGTCTTGTCTTCACTCGATGAGCGGAATTCAAATCATATAATGCAAATGTCGTAATGGATCATCGAGTCATTGTTAAAATCTGGATAATCTGAGCGCATAAATGCCCATGTGGAACGGCGTTCCACTGTTGCTAAATTCTGAGTGAAAAGCGTTCCACCAGTATTTCAGCCGGTTAAGTTTCAGATGGCGGCAAACCCGACTAAGATACTTCAGTCTGATAGATCGGGATAAAGTCGTCCAGTAGAGAACGAGAAGTTTCTTCGTTCGCTCCTAGTTTTCTCAGCCCTAGTTGATAGTGCGGATTAGTTGGTATATTCTCAACTTGGAGAGACAAGCTCAGCAAAGCTGATCTTATCAAAAGGTACAAGGAAAACAGACTGCTGCGCAAGGACAAATGTAATCATTTTGCACTGATTCTTGCACCATTAATTTCATTTCACAGGTCTTGGTAAGAGTCAAGGGTTTCGCAGTTTAGGCGGAATTTGCATCTAAAGAGAAAAATCAATGATGATTAGACAGGCTATTAACAATATGCACAAGGAAAAATGTGAGTGCAAATAAATTCATACTTTTAGTGTTTAACAATAATGTTAAAATCGCAGATAGCGTGTGAGCTCGCAGGATTGCACTTCGACGGTAAACTGGCCCCATTATGAAACCTTTAAATCAATTGGAACGAACGACATACCTCACCTAGGCTGTACGATATCTTAACACTGGGCTAATAGAATTACGTACATAAGTCAGGGCATTAGCTTAACCTTTCAGTAGGTCGAGTTCTTGCAGGCAGTCATGTTTTCATCGAGCTAGGTACGCTTGATGAAATACTACATGAAGACCAAAGAAAAAGCTGGTTTAGCCAACCCATCGATGTGCGCACATTTTGCATATGCCATCGGTGAGAGAGCAGCGTAGGTAGAGCAGAGTGGGAAGCAGTGTATATGAAGAAAATGTTAACGGTAAATATCATTTATCCAACTCATAGATGTACCCATGTTTTCCTGGACAATTGGTAAATCTTTATTTTGAGTAATAACGAAGAATGTAACCATGGAGGAGGAAGGAATGAGAGACAGAGGTAAGTAATCTAGTAAAAAAATATGATACGAGGACAAAGTAAATTCACATTGCATCAACAAGACTTTTGTCTCCTCTATATTTGTATCTTTCCATTGCATTATAAACGTCTGACGCGGTGGTATAGTGATTGTATGGGACAATCGATTTCATGGCGTGAGATATTCCTGTGTACTTACGTTGTACCGTAGACGTGTGTGGTAACGAGGTAGCTATATAATGTAGTCTTTTTTTCCTGGGTCCTACAGTGAAGATTCATGGAATACTGACTGATAGTAATTATTGTATGTCAGTCAGTGGAATATTTTGATTAGAACTGAAATCAATTCAGCTTTATTCTTCGAAGCCATAACGGTTCGATAATTGACAGATGACATCTAGCTTTACCTGTGAGCATAGACGTGTAACCGACAATTTTTCCGTAATACACTGTGTATCTTCGAATGTACGAGTGTCGCATCTTCTGTCTTTATTAAGAGTGGTGGCACAGTAATCCAATAATACTCTGGCACATAGTTTGGATGACGGGAGCAAGACTAGGTTTTTCGGCGCAACCTGCAGAGGCATCACGTTACCGAAGACAACTTCAATTGTTCTTGCAACTAATGCACAAAAAGGAAAGATCAAGTCTAAGTAGGAATGTTTCCAGGCATTTTAAGTGTCTTTGCTGAATATAGATTGAAACGATGATTCATTGAATTCCACTGGAATTAAGAAGGAGATTTTGGAGAACGCCGTTCAGGACTAGATAATAAAGGACAAATGTAAATGTGTCCCAGGTCATCCAAAATATTCGAACTAATGAGTTCATCTCGGGCGCCAACAGTTGCAACGTGCTCCCCAGGGAAGCGACCTCGAAATAATTCTGCAGGATGATCTTGGCTACTCGAAACAGAATGAAAAGGCATCGAAAAGAGCTAGTCAGCACCTTGTACTCTTACGGAAGACTTTCAAAAGTGCCAGCCATCTGTCTTCCCACAAATGCTAAAGGTCTTCATGAGAACGCACCTGGAACACGAGATCCAAGTCTGGCGTCCGTGGAGCCAACAAAATATCGCTGCGCTTGTAGCTCCACAACAAATAGCGACGAAATTCGTCAGAGGTCTGTTTCACCTACCCCGCCAACGCAAACTAGAAGTCTTTGGCATACACAACACTTAATATCGGTATCAACGATGAGACTTACCAGTCACGTCTGTTGCGAGCTGTTGCGAATCAGCCACAATACTAACCTATGATACTACCAGCTCAAACCGGCTACATTACAGTCGATTTGATTGTCAATAAAACATTTTTCCCGTCCATGTGTCCAGAACATGACCCGCTCCTTCAAATCACTTCACTCTTGTAATATGCTTCCGGTCAAGGCTTCTAAGTGCCTCTGTGTCCAGGGCGTAGGTGGGTGGTATTAGACCAAGAGGGCTGAAAGGCAAAGGAGATACTTCGTAGGCGACTGGAATACCACCTAGTAAGTTTCAGACCTGGATGAATGATGTGCTTGTTTCACTTCTCGCGGCTAACTGGGCGGTGCTGTCACAGCTGCTCGTTGAGGATCGAATGTGAGGTGACTAGATGGATGGCGTAAAATACCTAGGCGAGAAGGTGGCTCTAACGATGCTGAAGATGAAATGGGCAGGTAAAGAGAAGAGGGAACGACAAGCATTATATAAGCTACACTTGATGACAGCGTATTTGCTGACTTGCTACAGTGACACGCTGGTACGCTAAAATTCTGACCCCAAGATTAACGCTTTCAAAAGGGGCCTTGACGACAAACTATCCCAGTTGCACTACGTGATACAGTCAGTTACAGTCAGAGGACAAGATAACTCAAACCAAACTACCTGCTCACCAACCCATTCTGTAACAAGGTTGGCGGCATCCGGTTTCGGATTTGCCTGTCACTGTGACAGCCACAGGACGCCTGCACCTACGGGGGCACCATGGATGGCTTGCGCTGCATCAA